AGAGAGAGAGAGAGAGAGAGAGAGAGAGAGAGAGAGAGAGAGAGAGAGAGAAAGAGAGAGAGAGAAGACTCTCATCTCTGAATACATGAGTATGCTCATGTATATCATCAACAAAAATGCACTTTTCAAACACATACTGCACTGCAGAATCATGTCTTCTTGACGTTGGGCAGTCGGTGCTCTACATCTGAGGAGCCCCGTTTAACTGCCAGCCCCGTTGCTCCACCAATTTCATGTTTGCCCTGAGGGTGGCGGTATAATGAGGTCTGACTGTAAATGTTTTACTGCAATGGGGCAGATCATTTCCACATAATAAAGCAAAACCAAGCTTTGTGGGACCATCCAACACTGCAATCATCGTCATCCTCATCATCATCATCATCATCATCATCATCATCTTCATCATCATCATCATCATCATCATCATCATCATCATCATCATCATCATCATCATCAATTATTATTTTCTCCATTGATAACATTATCATTTTTATCACTACTATTGTTGCCATTCAATTTCCATGGATGTAGATGTTAACAGAAAGCTCACAATAAGCAGAAGTAAAAAATGGCACGGAATCATGCACACCAGTCTGTGTTTCTTAAAAATTCATCAAGTTCATAATGTCAGGGGGATCTTAAAGTCCAGAAACTAGGCACCACTCTTCTGAATATTCCCACTAAAGAGAAAAACAAAATATTTCAAATTATCCTACATAGTCAATACCAGATGTCCAAATGTACACTGTTGGTAAGTCTTTAGTAACTGGTATTTTCTACTCGACCGACCGTGTAGGAGAGTCGGGTCAGGCGGTGTTTTCATCTGAGCACTTTGCAGATCCGTGCGAAGTCATGGTCATGTCAGCTGCTGTGTTGTGAGTTAATTGAGTGTTCGGAGAGTCATTAAAACACAAATTTTGATAATCACAAATTTCCAACGTAAAACATATTTTACCAAAGTGGGAATATGAAGAGAAAACTAAAATTTTACCTGTCAGAATTCTCCTCCAAGCTGTTCACTCTTCTTCCACACAGTTGTAGTTGCAAAGCTTGTGGACCTACACCAATATGTTCTACTGCACTCTGTATCCCATGTGGGCGGCGTCTTGTGTCATTTCTACCTCTCCCCGAGCCATCCCTCAACCTGGATGCAGCCATGGGTATGCCAAAAGCTGTTAAAGCCAAACCGTTATCAGCATGGGCCTGCTCCACCTCTGGTCCCATCTCGTTCACATCAGTGACCTCCGCCTCTGACCTGTCATGACATAAATGAGATAACATGAAAGTGAATTTGATAATAAGGAGGCGTTGTCAATCTAGCACCATTTGGGAGAGTGCCTTTTGGCACAATGCCATGTGAAAGTAAGGTGGGTATAATGATGAGTCATGCTTTTGCTTACAAATGAAAGACCTATGTGACTAAATGTTTGTCTTAAAAAAGAGTTTTAACCCAATCTTTTTTAATACAACTTGAAATTCCAGACAACCACAACACAAGACAATACAGCATCCTTCCACTAATTTAGAAGAACAAACAAAATAAACATAAACACACACACACACACACACACACACACACACACACACACACACACACACACACACACACACACACACACACACACATAATATACACACAAACATACACTACAGTTTCCTTCTCTCCACTATTATAATCAACACTCAAGTAAAAGTAAATCATAAGCAAAGAAAAAAGAAAAGCAAAAAAAAGTTCTCACCTTTGTGACCTGTTGCCAGTAGCAACACTAGCAACTACAATTCCATCTATAGGACAGTTTGGATGAGAATGTAGAAGCCAACTGTCAATGCAGTCTTTGTGAAACTGAAAACACAAAATGCGTAGTAAAAAATATAGTAGAGAATGAAAATTGTTAATATAGTCTAATTCAATCTACAATGTATTTCCTTTGATTGTTTTATTCAAGGTCTCATTGACATTATATCACGTAAGAGATAGGATGTAAGTAGTTGACATGTCACTAGCTCAGTTTGCTTCTAACATATATCTTCGTTTCCTTTCCTCCTTTTTTTTCTGTATGTTATTGTCTAGTACTAATCTTGGGCGTTTAATATCACTAGACTAACTAAAAGTAACTAAATACTTTCCTAACCTTTGACCTTGTCTTTCAGAGCAAATTTTAGTTACAGGCAATAATATCTCGAAATCAAAAGGCTGATTTTCAATAATATATCTACCTAAGATGAAAACTGAACTGGTATCTTTTGCATTCAGAAGTGTTTACATAACACAAGATACTGAATTGTGGTGACCAGCAAGAGGATTTGTGCACTTGAAATGATTATAGATTGTGGTACTTTGTCAATGTATTACTTTGCAGGCAGTACATGTTTATTTATTCTTCATAGCTGACTACATTTCTAAACTCATATATGTCACGACGCGGTGGAATCAGGCACTCGTCAATTATTTTAACATGTGGGGTTATTGGTATCATTTTAATGCTTCTTGATTTTTCTTGATTTTTGGTTTAAAAAATACAATTCTATCATGAGCAGAAGTCGAGATATTTGTCATTGAAGGAGGTGGGATCACCTGGTTTCAGAGGTGAAATTAGTGAGAAATGGCCGCCAAAATTTGGCGATTTCCAAAGTTTGAGAGTCCTTAGAAACTGCAAGAGTACGTTTTTGTGCCTTAAATCAACATTTTTTGGTAAAATCCACACAGAAGTGTGTTTTTTAATTGATCTTAAAGGTGTTGAGTCAAAAAACAAAAATTCGATAAAAATTGCAGAAAAAGGAAAAGAAAAATGCTAGTTTCTTGGATTTCATTATTTTGACAAGCACCTGATTTCACCAAAGTGCCTCACAATTATTTTATTTTCGACAATCTTTTCACACTTTCATAAAACTAGATTATCTCCATAGAATCGAAGGTGTAAAATTAAGAGTTTATACCTTATGCCTACATGGTAGTTTCCGTACAAACTGTCCAACGGTGAAGCCTCTGAGACACACTCGACACTGGGAGCCAGGTGCCAAGAGTGAGCTGCCATCTCTCACACGCTCAAGGGGAATAGCATTGAGGGCATCCTCTGACAAGTTACTCAGTTCCTCCTGGCCATGCCTTAAAAAATATGTGTTGACGACGAAAAGTTAGGACTGTTATCGCACATGTCATGAGGGTTGTTTGAACTTTTAAAAAATTTCATATTGATAAAGGGCCTTGATTAATCGTACATTGAAAAGAAAGAGCACATCAAATAAAAAAAGAAAAGAAAGAAATTCGAATTTTAAAAAAGGACATCAAATCAAGAAATCACAGAATAAACAAAAGAACCCAATAAGATTCATGAGTTGCTAGAGAGACACAGAGAAAAATGAGACCCGAAATATTGGAGTGATGTAAAATGGGGTTCCAGTGGCTAAATAAGTTCCGAGTTTAGACTCAAAAGTTAAGTCAATCAAGTGTTGGAGACACAAGGATAAGAAGGGTGGTCACTGGGGTGTGTCCTTGAGCAAGATACGACAACACAAGCTAAAAAAACAGATGGCAGCACAGTGGCGATCAAGCATGGCATGTTTGTGAAAGTGTTCTGTATGGAAGCAATATTGTGTATTGATGTACGTATTTATATTTGTATTAATGTATATTTGTATCCATAATTATGTATTTAATTTATGTTTATATGTTTGCCATTGTAAACCAAATTTCTCCAAACAGATCAATAAAATTATTATTTATTTTTATCTTATTTTACGTTATTTTAGAATAAAGGAGCTTGTTGGGAAAAAAGGGCACATTTTACAAGGAAAGTATATTAACTAAAGTCAAGGAGTTGTAGACAATAAGATGATGGTATACATGTCTGGTTCACTGCCACTTTCACTGAGTGTCGGTTTGGTAAATAGAGACAGACAACATGCTTTATTTCATTACACTGACAAAAATAGTATCATGATGATTTTACTATACTTACCTATCCATCTGCATCAGCAAGTCGTAGTCATTTTCTGTTATATCTCTGTGCTGCAATTCATTCACAATAGCAGGTGGCAAACTACTCCCCAGTGTACGAGCTGCAGCCCGCCATCTTTGGTTACGTTTCTGAAAAGTATATGCCATATCAAAGTAAAAATATTAACTGTAGAACATCAAAAATTTCAATTCAAATTTAACATTCATGATTACTTCAAAAGCTTTGATTACATACTATGCAACAAAAGTGCTTCTTGAACTTACAAAAAGGTAGATAGATTTTTATTCCAGAACTTATTCAAAATCAAAGTATAAATCAAGTTCAACAACGTCAGAGTTCTCACTGACCTTTTAAGTAAACAGCATACCCACATCACTTTAAACAATGTGAAACAAAATCTCCTATTTATCAAATACCCCCTTTCAATTCATTGTGATATTTTCTAACACTGTTTCCTTTCAGCTGTTGTATTAAGCGGATGTCTGTATTTCAAACCATACAGCAGCATTTCGGACCTCAAGTAGTTTGGGGACTTTTCAAGCTCCTCATTCACTGAACTCAATCCTATCGGTGACTAATGTTAGTGTAGGAGATCTTGTACCTGAAACAAACTTTCAGTGTTACAAGGATATCAAACCCGCATTATACCCTCCTATCCTTCAAACATCCTCTTTTCCCTCTCCTCAACATATTATGTTTTAACTATACTAATCTCTTTCAAATATTTTTTTAAAAACCTAGTATTCGCAAAATTTTCAAATGCGGGTTATATCAAGTGTCAGACTTACATGTCGAAACTGAAAGGAATGGTGTGTGTGGACTGGTAAATTGAAGCACCTTTGGCACATATGAAAAGTAGGGCAAACTGTACATCTGAAAAAGAAAAGGTGGAAACATACTACAGCATGCTCCTGAGCAATAAAAAAGGAAAAGAAAAACAATAATCTTACAGAGTGAAAACTAAATGCTTACATTATAGGAACTTAAAACTCCCATATCATTTTTAGATATATTCAATTTTAAAGAAACAAAAGCACAGAAACTAATTCATCATACTTTAAGCCTTGAATCAACAGGACCTAGATTTTAATCTTGAGAAGATCAGGATCTTTGAAGTGAATTGGAAAGTTGATAAGTGGATGAACTTTTAATTTTATAAATGTCAGTCCACGTTCTTCAGTAGCAGAATACACCTGATATTTTTCAGACTATAACATTTACTTTTACATTTATTTTCCTGTTCAGTGATTGTAACACTCACATATGAGAATATTTTCATTTTATATAGCCTACAGCTTATATATATATTCTATATTTTATTTATATATATATATATGCACATATAATATATATATATATATATATATATTATACATATATATATTTCCGTTTTGGAAGAGTTAGAATATTGAAAGATCAATGGAATACCTGTAGCATTTTCCTTCTATTGGAGCCCTGCTACAATGACCACAAGCCATTCCAACATGTCTGTCCATGCGGATCCCTGGTGGAGCTTGTGGTGGACAGCCTGCATTTCTCATTTCAGCCTTGAGAAGATCGATAGGTCCAAAATCTTCACGACACATAGGGCATTTTATCGTGCCCTCTTGAGATGTTTTCTGCTGATGCTCTGCCCATACCTGCATACATTTGATGTGGACACTGTTTCCACAACCAAATCTGTCAAAAGAGTGAGTCGATAGGAGATACATAAATAGAGGCCATAGCTGTATTCAAAAACAAACAAAACCATGTGTGTCAAAAACAATTGATGATTGATTTTAACCAAAAATGATGCTTTTCATTATAAACTAAGGGTTTATTCCTTAACCAGAGATAGAACTTCAAAATTGTCACTGAAATGAGCACAAAACTTTTATTTTTTGTTAGTTGTTGTTGTTTCACTTTTTTTTTTCTAAAAAAAAATATTACATACAAGTCAAAGAATATTTGCATACTTGCAATAAGTCACGGGCAACTTCTTCGTCATAAATTCGTCTTGACAAATGGGACAGACATCATCCTCAGCAATCTCTCTCTGTTCTACAACAGACCGGCCATCTGCCGACTCAACAACTTTTTTATTGTTGTTTGCTTGGCGAGTTCTGTGCTGATCTGCAGTGACTCGACCTCGCAGAATTTCATTTACTTCAATATCCACTAGACCGAGTTGCCATGACACTAGTGGAACACCAAAAGAAAAAAGAAAAAATTTAAAAAGTGGACAGATAAAATAACGGGATTATAGATATCTATAATCAATACACAGTCGTCAAAACAATGTACCAACTACTAGGCCTACTGAAAGACATGCCACAATTATATTGTACTCATTTTATTTCTGAAAGATTTTATTATTATACATATTTTTTCTAGATAACATTCAAGCCAATCATTTTAACATTTGGTTTTGAAAATGAATCACTATATGTACTGGGCTGTAAAGCTATCATTAGAATTTGTTATTCCACTGGTACTATGGCATGTCTTTTCTAAAATGTTATTCCAGGAGTAAATTCTCTGAAAAGCATATGTGAGGCATCATGGTGAAATCAGGCACTCGACAAAATTATGAAGACGAAGAAAACTGCATTTTTTTATCCAGTTTGGCAATTTTACGAATCTTTGGTTTTTGGCTCAACACCTTTAATTTAAGTCCATTAAAAAACACTTTTCTGAGTGGATTTTACTGAAAAACATTGACTACGGGCACAAAAAAATGTAAAATTTCAGTTTTCAAGGACTCTCAAGCTGTAGAAATAACCAAATTTTGATGGCCATTTCTCGCTAATTTTACCTCTGAAATTAGGCAACCCCCCCTACCCCCCCCCCCCCCCCCCAATCACTAATCACCTTTAATCACAAATATCTCGACTTCAATTTAAGATAGATGGGTATTTCTTTCACCAAAGGCAAGACAAATTACCAAGCTTTGAGATGCTAGCTATAACTCCATATGCCCAAATATTAACGAGCAGCCTGATTTCACTGCCTCATGACATGACACACATTATATTATCTGTTGTTAGATAGGTCTTTTATGTTAGTTTTAAAACCTATTACAAAAATTTTGTAACTATCAAGGGCTGACATATGTGTCACGACGTGGTGGAATCAGGCACTTGTCAATTATTGGGCACGTGGAGTTATTTGTATCATCTGAAAGCTTAGAAATTCATTTGTTTTACTTTCAATTTAAAAAATACACATCTGTCTTGAATAGAAGTAAAGGTATTTGCAATTGAAGGAGATTAGGGTCGCCTGGTAACTTTGGTGAAATTAGTGAGAAAATGGCCACCAAAGTTTAGAGACTCCTACATTTTGAGAGTCCCTAGTGGTTGAATGTTTACATTTATGTATCTTTAATTAACGTTTTTCTATGATGTTATTACAGAAATGTGTTTTTAAATAACCTAGAGATAAAAGTTGTTGAGTCAAAATTTGATAAAAATTGCCAGACCAGCTGAAAAATGTCCGTTTCTTTGATTTAATTATTTTGACAAAAGCCTGATTTCACCACGATGCGTCACATATGGTCAAGGAAGGTAAAACTAAAAGAGGACATAATACTTTATAAAATTTCAACATTAGAGTATGGTACAAATAGCAAAGCCCATACGGTTGATAGGTCAGTGATTTGTTTGGAAAGAGCTGGTCCTTGTAACAGTCATACAGTTTATAGCAGATTAATACAGTACTTACATGGATCATTTACAGATAATCTAAACTTTCTTAGAAGCAGCCAGCAAATGTGTTTACACAAATCTCTCTCTTTTTTGTACACAGGACAAGTGCAAGTATGAGGGTCGCCAAGGAAAACCTGAAATGAAATGATGTCAAAGTAAATTTTTATTTTAATTTTTGTTTTTTTCAGTTTGCAGTGATACCTCTAGCCTATGCTTATCTGTCAATAGAAGTAATGAGCATTGGCTTTCACTCACAAGGTGTTCTCAAGTAATTATTACTTATAGAAAAATAATATTTTTCTAACAAGTAAATTACCAAACAGGTTCACATGCTATTCGCCTGCAACTCTAAACAGTCTCTCTGAGATAATTTCCACATTTGAGTGAATAACTGGTTCCTATTCAAACATAATGTTTAATTGGATACGGAGAATCTTAACTTACATGACTTACATGAAGTAATTCTACAATAGACCATGTAGGCCCAGGATACTTTTGAAAAGAAAACTGCATGCACTTTCGTGAAAGCCTACCGTTGTATCAAGACAATACAGTAGGCCTAAGCTAAAGAGCTGAAAAGATTTTTATCATACCTTCACTGTCTTTCTTTCCCCTTCTTCTTTAAGTAAAAATCCAGTTGGGCCTGTTTGTCTGAGAATGTAAATTGTAGCATCCATAGCCTGCGTTTGATGCCAGCAGCAAGCATCGCTGACTGTCCTTCTCCATTGTACACTTCGAGGCATAGCTCCTGAAAAGTTAAAGACATATTCCATAGTCCAACTAAATATTTTGTCAATGTGTAGAAACTAAGAAATTTTAACTCAAATTATTTCACTACTTTTCCCACGCTGCCATCATACGCAAACACATTTTTCTGCAGTTTCATAAAACAACTGCAGGCTTCCAAAATAAGAGTGCCAGATTAGACTTACTGTTTATAAATTAACATGTCACTATTTTCAGATCAAAGCAATCTTTTGCACAAATAATATCAAGAGAAACCGTATCAAGAATTGTATTAACAGTTAGAGAAGACATTCTTATTTTTGTCAGTAAAATTTGTACATTTTGGTACGGAGTCAACCCTTTCTACATTTTAAAAAAATTCAAAAATCATTACTAACAGAGAAATTTTTATCTTGATTACAGTCAAAGCCATGAACCTAACAAAAAAAATGTAATGTGCTGGAGAATCAAACACATTATAAAGAAGGCTGCATTTTTCTCCACTTCACTTCTATACAATGGACAAAAAAAACTTTGCTTCACCAGATTAAAAATATGTGACATGTGGATTGCTAATAGGAATTAACGTATGTATTTATAAGCACTATACAAGTCGTATGTAGTTATTGGAAACAATAGTGTACAAGTGATGCACATTGCAAAACTCAAAAGTAACACACTGGTTTTATTCAAAGTCAGAAGAACGAAATAATATACATTTCAATCAATATGAGGCCATAGGACTGTCACTGGCAAACATACTTATTTCATGCTTAGGTATGAATTATTAAGTCACCAGTATCATATAATAGCCTTTCATCAAAAAGGGACATTTATTCTAGGCCCCTATAGCTTTCACATTTTCATCTGACCACGTTATGAAAAAAATTCTAGCTAATTTAAGACGTTATCTATGCAAGAAAACCTTTGCATGGCACTTCTGCAGGCCAGCTACCAAACAAAAATATTTTTTCAAAAAATCTTGTTCTAGTAATAAAAAAGTTTTTCTCGCTGGGCCTGCATTAACTTTGGATGCATAAACAGGAACACTAAAATAAATGGCCCGGAGTAACCTTGCTTAATAATTGTTCATTTGAGACAGGGACATCACGTACCCTGTCCCCTCATTTCAGTGTAAGCTTGTAGATTTTATCATATGACTGTCTAGACGTCTCCATGTGCTCCAAGTGAGTCTCGAAAATTACTCACATTGTCTCTTGAATCGCATTTCATAGGCGTACTTTAGAGTGTGGTATTGAAAAACATGTTATACCTTTTAAATGTTTTAGGTGTAAGCTGCAAATCCCCTATTATTTTTTTATATCAAAGAAAATGTGTTGGAAACTTAGTTTGTATGGTGACTTTTATGGATGGGCTTTGAGATTCTATTGGTAATCCAACTTTTACACCCGTAGGTCGCTAAGCAAAGATCTGAGAATGATTAAACAGACAGATTTCATTTTATCTTGTTTTAACCGAGGTCAGACGAAAGTGAACAAGGGATATAGGTCTACCAACTATTAATTCAATAGTTTTATCTCTAGGAGGCAGGAAACCAACACAACGTGTGTATAACAAAACCTTATAGTAGCTTATCAGTTAGAAAAAGCAATAGGCTTATATAGTGTTTATAATTCACATATCTAAGAAAATTTATATTTAATTTTGGAATTTTGAAAAAAGCAGGTTTTTTCTTTTCAAAACAAATTAAAGCATGGAAAGAATATTTTAAGATGTGATGAAAAAACATTCTGCTCATTAAAAGTCATCACTGGTGGTTTTTAAATTCAGTGAGCTGCAAGATTATCATAATATTTTAAGTGGCGTACAGCTTTTTTTTAAATTCCGCAAAAGCACCTAGTTCTTTTAGCTAAATCTTGTCCAACAACCACCAGACAGAGTAACATAACCTGTGTCAATGATCTCCATTTTACTTGGTACTTTATCAATTGTGTCCAAGACAGTCCACCTGCCCGCACAAATACATCTCTGTACAGTCTCATAGGACGCTCTCTTAATCCTTCTCCATGTCAAGACTTCAAAACACAAAATCACCCCTCTATAACACATTAAGTGCCAGCATTTGCACAAAGAAAGCTGCTACAAGTGCTCACACAATAAAAATTAAAAAAAGATATTCTAGGCCTAAAAGTTACATATTTAGGGGTGGACAATGATATGAATTGTGATTTCTCAAATTTACCTTTTCAATCCTTTTGAAACTTCAAATGCTTGGGTGTTTTTTGTTAGTCTTTGGTGCTGCTAGTAGGCTATTATAGAAAAATTAGTCTGTTGAACAGCAATTGTAAATGTGAGAGGTTTATTTTTTTTTTTAAAGGAACAGGATTTTCCTAAACTATATTTTCATCCACTCACATATCTGTTAAAACTTTCCAAAGAAAAACACAAATTTTCCTCTTACGTTAGCTAGTAGCATATATATTGTTACTCATAGGCCTACTCACAGGACATTTTGAAGATGTAGTGCTATAGATAAGAGAGTATTTTGATACGTACTCAAAATTACATCATTATGTGCGCCTGAGACCCCAGTCTGACCAAATGTAAGAACTGATTGGGATTGAAGGATTCAAGAGTCCATTAGTAGGGCGTATAGGCCGAATACCAGTCATTTCGTATGGTCATTATTCATCACACTGGTGTAGTCAAGACGTCACAGTCATCTCGTCACACCCCAAATCCACAAGGTTGAATGGAGACGGTCATTTCGTAGCACATTTGCGAACATCAAACGCTCATTGTCATGGCAATTGCAAAAATCACGATTTTTGGGGGAGGTTTGGGTGTGTGTGTGGAAGAACAGGAGGGAGGGGGGAGGAAGGCGGCTGTGCGAGTCATCGTTGTGCCTACCCGAGCAGCTTCACTGTTCATTTATATGTAGGCCTATTGACAATTGAAATCTATCGAGTCAGATCAACAAAGTTTTTAAGTTTCGATGAAAGATGTTATTGGCAAGATCATAATATTAGTTTTGTTCAAAATAAAATAGCTAATAAAAATGTATGGTACTGCAATTTTGTTAAAAGCTATACCCTTACTTTCAAATAAAGCTTTAATTTACTAACGCTTCACCGCACATTGTTTTTGCCTTATTTCAAAAACTATTGTTCAGCTATGGAACAGTCTAGACGAAGATTTAATTTACATTTAATAATTTACACAACTTTTAAAAAAGCTTTGCTCATCCTCCAAAACTTTACTAGAATAACAATTTTGGAGAGAGGTCATTTCGTCACATAGGCCTATTGGGGTGTGACGAGATGACAGTGTGACGAAATGACCAGTTCTCTATAAAAAATACGCCTTCATATATATTGGCTATACACTGTTGTGACATGGAAAAAGCCCAAAGCTGCATACATATGTATAGATCTAGGGAAGACTTCCGTAACGAGCGACCACTATGAGACAGTCGAATAGAATAGAGGGTTCCGTAGGGGTAGGCGGCCTGTTAGGGTTAGGTCTCTTTTTCATTGTGTTTGTTGGGGTGGTTGCTCGCTAATTACGGAAGTCCTTCTTCCATCTACATCTTTTTTAAAAGTTTAGTTGACTCAGTTGTGTCATACCTACCTTAAAATGATTAATTGAAAAAGCAAGACTTTGTAACACCTTAATTTTATTCCGCTAAGGCCCTAACCATATGATTATTATGATGATGGGTCACCTGGAATTCTTCCCCATTCAGTGCTTTCTTTCACTATCGATGATCATTTGCTGACCCTTTATTATGCTAGGTCTACGTAAGACATGACACGATCAGCAAAAATACTATAGACTATAGTGAATAATAATGTAAGCAGAGCCGCAGAGGGTGAGCATTTGGCCAACAGTAGAACTAGATGTAGATTATATATATGAAAGTGGCTATTCTCACCCGCCCGGAAGTTCTCGCAAGATCAACTCCTCCCCTCTTCTCTCTCTCTCTGTCTCTTTCTGAATACTGTCTATCGCTGTGGACGATCAAATTGACCAAAACAAAGTTAAAAAATGATGTTAAAACACAAAAGTAAATAAATTTGGTTGTCTACAAAGATGCTACGGCTATTTAACTTTTCGAATCGAGCCAAACTACGCGGGTCGCCATTTTGTTTTGCCCGGAAATTCTCGCGCTACTCCTCTCTCTCTTTCTCTCTCTCTCTCCACTGCCCACAGACAAAATTGTACGCTTTTAGTAGGCTACAATTGTAATGGAACGTTTGTTCACGGCACAGAATTTTACAATTTTTCTGTTATCACAGTGTAGAATTCTGTGGTTTAGGGTGAACGCAAAATTTGGTGAACGCGCACCGGGTGAGAATAGCCACAAGACTCGCCTGCACTATTCTCACTCCGGGTGAGAATAGAGGTGGCCTATATATATATATATATATATATATGTGTGTGTGTTATGTTAAAGGTTTTCGTAAAGACACTGTACGTGTTAGAGCTGTGATAAATTATATATGAACACTACTGGCTCACACTATTTAACTGTCTTAATGGGAGCCTTTAGCGACGCTAATCAATCTAGAGCCATAAGTCATAGGAGGCCGAGTTCATGACTAAACTCTAAACGGTTACACTCGTGGCATATCTGCATGCAAGGTCATTGAGAAAAGACATAGATCTAGATCTAGGCACATTAAAAATCGTGAGAGGAAAGAGATTGGATTTCCGAAAAAACCCCCACTAATATTAAGATATTTACCCCTGCAAGAGACAAACAAATCCAACTACAACTGACTGTTCATCGATCTGTCGATTGGTTCCGCCGATAGAGCGCAGCCATGTTGTTTACACACATCACTATGGTCTACAAGGGAGGTATGATTGTTTCCAAACATTGAAAAATATGTAAGCCAGATGAGTAATTTACCTGTCACATGGGATAAATTAGCATTATCCAAAATTTATTTATTCAAAATATTCCTATTTTAAACAAAATGCTAAGACCTAATTTAGCTTTCAAAATAAAATGATAAATTGTCGACGTAGATTCTAAACATATTTTATATTGCTAGATCTATATGAAGTTAATGTAGAACCTCGCCCTCCATAGTACGGTGGCCGAGTGGTTAAGGCGTTGGACTTAAGATCCAATGGAATGATTTCCGCGTGGGTTCGAACCCCACCCGTACTAGAACACGGAATTTTTTATTGTATTTGATATCAATGTGGTGCTGTTGTTGTTTCAATCTTTGAGGCAACCAAGCTGGTTGGCAGTGTGTAGGCCCATTGTTTAATTTACCACTGTACACAGGAGTGAACATAAAGACGAATACCACATCTGATTTGCTGAACTATTATCATAGTATTGGTGCCTTTAGTTGTTTAGTTCAACATTTTTTTTATTTTTTTTTTAAGCTCCTAACTCGTTCATCGAAATAGCTTGGTTGTTGTATTTATAATCTCTATTTTTCCCCGTTTCTTTTTCAGGGAGGGAGCACACTGCAATGTAGAAAACAAAAGAATGGTCGGACCCGCTGTGAAGGACATGCTCGAACGACATAGCCCCCCAAAAAAGCTTTTTAAAATATAAAAAGATCCTAGGCCTACGATGCCATCTCTTTGCTAGAGACGTTGACAGGAACATTCTTTTTATTCATTTATTATGTATTTATTCTCATTGTTATTTAGGCATATTAATTGCTCGGCTGCAAAATGTTTTCTATTTAGACTAGCCTATGGGCCTAATAAAAACAAATGTCAAACATCACAATTGCTGCAAAACTCTGAATATTGAAGGTGCTGGCCTTTTTTGGCTCAGCTCTTTTTGATGGGTGGGAGAAAATTACAAGTAATATCAACAGAAATGTTATTCATAAGAAGAAATCTGAAAATGTCATGGACAGAAAAGAAGATTAACCAAGAAGTGCTGATAAAGGAAAACATGAAACGATCACTAATTTAGACAATACGCAAGAGACAGATGAATGTCAGAGGGTATAGGCTTTCGGCTACAGATAAAGAGAATTGGAACAACGTATGACAGAAACATTTTAAAAGAGAGAAAGCCATAAGGACACCTACGCACAAGATTCAAAAATAGAATGAACACCAGGACCTTGGCGACTGACTGACAACATAATGAACAATTCATTCACGAAGGCCTCGGATGAGATAATATTTATTGCTCAAGACAAGACACGTCTTAAATGATGATGATGATGATGATGATGTGATGATGATGATGCTCTAGCGAATCTTACATGAACATAAGCTTAAATGTTTAGCTATCATTGATTGACGAGAAGATGGAAAATCTTTTCCCAAGCCTTTATTTGATTCTTTTTTTTCCAATATTTAAACAGAAGCGTAGTTTGGCACACCCCATTTTAAATACCGATTACAACGTCGACCTTCCTTTGCTAATAGGAATGAGGAGGATGCTGGTTGGGGGCGCTTGTGTAATAGATTTTAAAAGGAAGCTTAAAATCGAGAGTGAGACAGAATAACAAACGTGCTGATGCTAGGGCTGTGTTGGGGGAGAGAGCGCGAGAGCAGAGGGAGGGGGTGAGACACACCCGCAGAAAGACAGAGAGACAGTGAGAAAGAGGGAGGCGAAAAGACAGGCAGGCAGGCAGGCAGGCAGGCAGGCAGGCAGCAGGCAGCTAGAAAGACACACGAATAGAGCCACTTTTAAAAAGACGAGCAGAGAGAATTTGGAAAACAAATTTTAATAATGGAACAAGGGGGAGTGGAGAGAAAGAAGAAAAAGAAAGAGTGGAATGTAGCAGCAGAAGGTTGCGGTAGAAAGAGCTAGGGGTGGAAAGAAATAATTATGGTAAGAAGGAAGGAAAGAAGAGAAAATGATAACATTATTATGTGTGGCGCGGGCGGGTCTGTCTTCGTGTGTGTGTGTGATTGACGGTGAGAGAGAGAGAGAGAGAGAGAGAGAGAGAGAGAGAGAGAAAGAGAAGGAAAGAATGCAAAAATACGAGGGAGGGGCAGTTCCTGAGTCTGCCAAAGTGAGAGAGAGAAAAACATTGTATGTGTCAGTGTATGCGCACATGATTGCGTGTATGTGTGTATATGTGTATGTGTGTGTGCGTGCGTGAGAACGTGTGTGTTTTCCATGTGTATGTGTGTGCGTATGTGTATGTAAAAAGAGAAAGAGACAGAAAGAGAGACAGAGGGAGAGAGAGAGAGAGAGAGAGAGAGAGAGAGAGAGAGAGAGAGTAAGGGGCGAGGAAGAGTGAGGGAGAGGGACTGACAGACAGGCAGAAAAACAAACAAATAGACAGACAGATAGACCGAGGAATAGAGTTAGGAAAGGCATAAAAATATTGCTTGAAAGGCAGAAGTAGTTTAGACAGAGAGAAAAATGAGAAAAAGAGATACCAGGAACCAGAGTCGCAGTGCAATACACGCAGGCAAAGTGAAAGAAAAACAAAAGGAGAAAGGGAAACAGAACGGAAAAGGACAGAAAGAACGAAAGACAAACAGGGAGGAAAAGAGAAAATGATAGATAGATAGATAGATAGATAGATAGATAGATAGATAGATAAATAGATAGATAGA